CAGAGGAGAACATCTTACTTAACTCACCAGCTAGGCAATGTTGGCTTTAGGGTAAACTGAACAGCCTTCTCAGCTGGGTACTATAATTAGACTATGGATATCCAGTTTAGATGTAGGCACCTGAATTTCAGACTTAATGAGAGCTGAATGAGCCTTTACTTTTACAAAATATTGTACAAAACTATTGAATGGCAAGTTGTGTATCATTGGAAAAGGTATTTGAGAGCATCCATCAAACTTTTCTTAAATAATCCCATCTTGTCAGTTTGATGGGTTTTCCTCTTTTTTAACAAATTCAAGTCTCCCTTAAAACCAATCCAAAAACTACCAGCAAACCCCCCAAAAGTATACCAACACCCCCCCCCCCTATATTTTTAAATCTGATGTTAAAAAGTTTGATTACTTTGCATTGGTGGTCTTTGGTCTCTGCTGTCCTTGCAATACTTGTTGACCCATTTCAGCTGCTTCTGTTACAGTTTCAAAAAGGTGCTGCTGAAGCCTGGCTCAAGCGTTGCTAAAAAAAATAGTTATTAGAGCACCAGAGGTGAGAAAAGCCACGGCATCCAGCACACCTCCCACTACTTCTATTCCTGTACTCACTCCTAGAACACTTGTAATATAGACAAAATTTTTAAATGCCTGATGAGAATGACTGGTAAAGCAACTGTCTGGAGAACACTGAGATGATTTACATATTTTTTGGATGACTGATTTTCGTATAAAGGAGAACACTTAAAGAATGTTCTGTAAGTAAATGTTTTGCATGATGCTCTGAAAGCAGGAGAGATTTGTTCTCACATGACTCTTGAAAAGAAAACATAACTATAAACTCTTAAGAGGTAATAAAAATATATGTAGAGTGTAGAACAAATTTAATCTTTTTTTTCAAAGCTGCAAGTACTGCTTGTAGTATAGACCAATGTCTCTTCTCTGCTGTGTTCACACAGCAGTGAGGATTTTAGGTTAACATATGTGTTTTGTGATGTTTGAATTCTTTGCCTATACTCCTAATGCCTCCTCCAGCAGAGCTGAGAACAGTTTGCCTCACAGAGCAGTTAGAAGAGCGTTAGGGACACCTAGTACCCATGAAAAACTCAGAGATCTGAGCACAGAAAAGAAATTATGCTTTAATGTTTTAAAGAAATAAAAATAAACTCTACATAAATTCATCCTTACAGTGAAATATTGCTTAGTTCCAGCAGTTCAGCTGCTTTTGAAGCTAAAAAATGGACCATGCCTTAGATGAAGGCAATTTCCATTCCAAATCCTAGCTTTGCCAGTTCATGTTAAATGGCAAATCAGTCTAAAGGGATATTGCATACAAAAACTATTTGAATCAAATGCTGTTAATCTGTTTTTCTTCTGTACAGATCTCAAAACAATGAGTGAGCGACTCAAGAACAGGTACTACGTGTCTAAGAAATTATTCATGGCAGACTTGCAGCGAGTCTTTACAAACTGCAGAGAGTACAACCCCCCCGAGAGTGAATACTACAAATGTGCCAATATACTGGAGAAATTCTTCTACACAAAAATTAAAGAAGCTGGATTAATTGACAAATGACACTGTCTTTTTTACAACCAAATAGCGTGCCTACATTATGGGCAGGGGAAGCCGTTCTATATATGAGTTGTGGGACTTTCAAGAAACTTCTGTTTAATACTTAGCACTTTTAAAAACCCTTTTAGTTTTGAAAACATGTATTATACTGATGTTACAGAAATTATTTTATTAAAATGCTTTATAATGTATTTAATTACAGACAATTTCTTTTGTGTGCCGATTACCGTATGTTCCTAATACGTTTATCAGCTACAGCCTCAGAAACCCCACAAACATGGGGGAAGTTGCACATATTTGGGAAGATGAAGAAAATTCCCAGACAACAGATGTTATAGCTTACCTAATGCAGTACCTATTTGATATAGTTTTATTATTTTTTTTCCAGTAAAAAAGAAAATTGTAAGGGAAAACAACATTTGGGGGGGTGTTCTGAAACACTTGTTTCTTTGTAGAATCTTTTTATAAGATATTATTTTTTAAAAGAAACAGCTGGTTGAAAAGCTGTGAGAGAACAGTCAGTTCTGAGAAAGGACTGCCTGTAAACTTTGATAGATGCAAGTTTTTCTATTAGTTTTCAGTTTTGATAAATATTTTACCTGCAAATTGTAATCTCATAACCACTCTTTTAAAAACAACCAAATCTGGCTAGCTGTTTAATGTCATAGTGACTTGGCTTATGCAGGACATAAGTACCCAAAATAACTTTAAAGACTACTTCTCATCTACTGGACAATTTCATTTGGTTTAGTAGAGTTAAGGTTTTGATGCACTTCGTGATCCACCCTACTTACTACTCTTCACTGTTAAATTCTTTAGATTATTCAGCAGAGATAAGACTATTGTACACAAAAGAAGTCAACATAGGACAGCTTTGAGCTTAGATACTTGGCTCCATGATAAACTGGATTTTCTACCAAGCTTTATTGTAAATGCTTATTAACTGTAATTATTTAGACCCAGGAACATATTAACATTTTACAACTCATGTTAGTATATCTTCAAGTAGAGCACACATATATATATATATATATAATATATGTGTATATATACGTATTTTGCTGCTTACACTACATTTAAGGGGTACACCTAACTCCTTAATGGAGATCAGTACAGGCCAAAACCCTGTCCCTTATGTTTTCTAATTGGAGTTTGTAACTGTAAATTATAATTGCTTTTGTGAAAATCAGATTTAACTTCCATTCTTGATGTTTTATATTTACAGATGTTACACTGGTAAAATTCAATAGCTATAAGACTGAAAAAAAACCCAGTCCTGTACTGTGTCAAAGAGTCTATTCCTGCAAAATGCCTGTGCAGTGTTAGATCACAAGTCAATTCAGCAAGTAGTTGTCAGGAACTACCCGGTAGTAGCAAATGTGGTACCCAAGGTATTCGAAATGTTAACGCTGGACTTGCCATCCTCTTTTGTATGAGATTAGTCTGACCTACATTGAGATCTATAACAAAGGTACAGTGAGTATTTTTTTTTTAATAGCCAGAACAGGACGCTATAAACCTGTTTTGTAGATTGGGCCTACAGATGCACATGTTAAGCTTGGTATCCTGTGAATTTTTTTTTTATTTTCAGAGTAGATTTTCTTATTGTCTTTCAATCAGATTGTCTCTTCTATATTGAAACATGTGTTTTCTAATTTAAGAATTAATATTTTCTTAGATACTGTGCAATAAAGTTATGGTAGAATATGTGGTTTTGCAAATGCTTTAACAGCTGATGAACTTTACATTTGTCAAATTAATATATTGTACTGGTACAGAATAGTTTTAAATTATATATGTACAAAACCCTACTTAGTTTGGTCTCTTTTTTTCATTGAGTATTTGTGGTACAAATGTACACAGTGAAGCAATCTCACAAGGGAGCACAATGGATCTACAAGAGTGCTGTCAGGATAAGCTGAGCTGTGACCAGTCCAAGTACCATTCCCAGCTCTACATTGAGATACAGTGCTGTTATTCCCATCTCTTCAACACTTCCTTGACTTAGCTGTTCCCAAGTTTTGATTTTTTCACCTCAATGCATGCTTATACTATTTGCTTATATTTGCCTATGAGACCCCTTTACTCACAAGACACAATATATGTAGCAGTCCATGTTGAGCTTGTACTGTCACCATGATGTTACTGAGATGGTCACTTACTTTGCATGCCATAAATAAACCTTGCACCTGTCTGGTACCTGACAGGTTATTAGAGAATAGGAAGAGGTTTTTTGGTTTCCCATCCACTCAAATTTTGGTCCTGTGTCACATCATGTAAAAGTGCACTATTCAGAGGGTGGTCAAAAGAGACTCATTTGTTTTCCTGAACACTTCTACAGATAGCAGTAGAGATTAGGTAATCTGGACTGGTTCCTTCCCTACACAGTTTCATCACTTCAATTCTTCAAATGCACTCAATCCAGTTAAAAAAACCCACAAAAAACCCAGACCCAGTGTACCTGCCTTGGGCTGCTCTGCAATCATGCTGTTCTTTTACTGCCCCTGATAAACAGCTGTTACAGATTTGTTTGCTGAAAGAGCACCTGAAGTTCAATCATTCTACTGAAGTTCCTCTAGTACTAGAATTCCAGACTGAAGATGGTAATGCCCAGGGCTAGAATTTAAGGATACAAAGGTAAAGTTTCAGTACAAACATCCAAAGGCTGTGTTCTGAACAACTGTTTTCAAACACTCAGTAGCTGCAGCTAGTATTACTACTGTTGAGAGAAACATGTAAGAAGTTAAAAGTAAAATAATAATTAACACTATTCATTTTTATTACAGAAAGGGAGAGATTTTGCACCTGTTTAGATGGGACAGGTGAGGCAGACACTTGCAAAGCAAATGAAGAGCCTGTATTTTTGTACTTTCCCATTATTTATTTGGAATGTAGCTTTCATTGGGTTATTCATGTATCAGTTAATACTTAAGTGTTTCTCAAGCAAAGAAAAAGCAGTTTGTGTGCTGGACAGTTGATAACAGTGTTCTCACATGCAGCCGGTTGTGGCACCAAATAGCACCAGCTCAGATGGGGCAGCTCTTCTTCTGCAAAAGGCACTTGGCAAAGCAGGGACAAAATTATTATAAATTAATAAATTATTATGATAGTCCCAGAACAGCTGAGACTAATAGTTTGCTTTACATTGCACCAAAGCAGAGCCCTCTTCACCAACCTCCATGGAGAAATTTGCTTTGTTTCTGTCTGGTTAAGTTGATTCTAGCTTGCACTCATAGCAGGACCAACCAAGCCTAAGTTGCTGCTTTTGAAAGTTGCAGCTACAGAATCAAACTACAACTGCAATCATGCTTCTAAACAGTGCTTATGCCACCACGTGAGACGGGGACAGAGCGCATAAGCCTCTAATGCCCACTGCTGACGTTACTGCCCTTGGAGCACATAAGGAAACTGCAAAAAAAACCACCAACCCGCTCTGAGCTGCTTCCAAACACTAAGACATTTATTATAAAGATTCAATATGAAACTACAACCACCACATAAACAACATCTGTACAAAAACTGTTATTAAAAAGACTCCCTGCACAAAACATCTCAAGTGCCTAAAGTTCAGCCTTACTGACTACAAGTCATAACATGACTTTCAGCGTCTTATCCATCAGATTTCTCATACACTCCCAGATCCAGTCAAAAAGAGCTTGAAGAGTTATAAAAGTAATCGATCCGTATCATTAAAAACAAGTCACTAGATGAAATTTATACCTCCTTAATCTGATACCCTTAATATTAGATACACAAATATTCACATACTTATATAAGGTATTGAGAAACAGCAATTTGGATGAAAGATTTCCTTTCCTCATGGCACGAGCATGGTTTTGCTGAAAATCTCAAATAACAGGTAACCAATTTCTCATTGTCTTTTTTCAGAGATTCATTCTTAGGAGAACATCATTTAGCATTTTTTCTTCATCTTGAAAATTGGAGACGTCAGGAACTGTGTATCTGTAAATGGATCTCCTCTCCTGAGCTTCCTGCTTAGGAAAAAAAAAAAAAAAAAGAAAAAAAAGCAAAACCTGAGTTCTGCTCCCTACATCACTTAAAACAACAACTTTTAGCTAGTAAGTTCCGTTTCACATGAACTAGGCTGTATTATTAACTCCAGATCTCTTTGAATAAGCTCTTTTGTTAAAGGACTTATTTTCAAAATTTAAATAAGCCTCTCAAATCCTCCAGTGGATGGAATATCATGAACTTTATTTTAAATTGGAAAGTAAAGATACCTACCCTGCAATACTTGGTTCTTTATAGCTCACGGTAGCAGTACAGCTTCGCTTGCGTTTTGGAGACTGTGGTCTTTCTCCTTCTGGGACAGGTGCTGCATCCCCAGTGCTGGGGAGCAATGCAGTGGTATTGGTAACATCACAGAGATGCCCACGAGGTGGCTCAGAAGGCTGCCCTGTGAAGAAATTAGGCACACTTCAGATCATTCACACAAGTCAGCTTAAAAGAAAATGTCAGTGAACATACAAGATCTGAACTAACTCTCAGCTGTCACTATCATCTCCATTTTTGCACTTTATAATACCTAAGAGGATAAACACATATTCAGGATTTTAATTTGTAAAAGTAAATAACACTGAGCAGGGCCAGGCAAAGTGTCATTTATTATTCCACTTCTCTCTCAATTTATATCTTGCTCACTTTTTCCAGTTTTAATGTATCGTTAACATAGCTATAGCAAAATATTAATTTGCTGGCCAATTTCTTAAAAACATATCTTTAATTCTAAATATCTGCCAAGTGAAAATAAAAGGCAGACAGAACAAATCTAACCATTCCTATAAGATTATTCTGTTTGCTGTTATTGAATAAAACCCCTAAAATATAAAAGCCTTAACCGCTTAAACGATGTTATCTTCCAAGGAAACAAAGCCAATTCCAGAACACTTTCTGCACTTACTAATAGACTTGTCACTTGATTTGTTGTTTTCAGTCTCTTCTTCACGACAGAATTTCTGCTCACACTGTGCCAAACATCTTTTAGACCTTGGCCTTGGATGGATTGGCGATGTAACATTATTGTCTGCTGAACTTCGCCTTTTCTTTGATTTGTAAGGCTCATAGAGACTGTCGTCTAAATCATCTTCAGTATCGCTTGACTCGATGGAATCAGTTGCATCTGAGTCTTCTGTGTCATCCACAGCAGTATCTCTGTCATTCACCTTGTTTTGTCGAAAAGGTGTAACATGGACACCCTCTTCCAAATGAAAGTCATAAGCATCACTGATGCCACCCAAGAAATTCAGCTTTTTTTTGGAAGCCTCTTTATCCTGTTTTCCTGGTCCTTGTTGGGAAGTATTTTTAGGCTGTTTCAGTACTCTCTTCTGGCGCTTCTCTTTCCTTCCTTGAGAGTTTTGTCTGCTTTTACACTCAAGTTGTTTAAGATTAGAATTATGTTTTAAGTTGAACTGTGCAGTTTCAGAATTTCTGGGCCTCAACACGTGCTCTGAATCTACCTTGCTTTCATTCAAGTGAGAAATAGCTGCATTTACATTGTCCGTAGCACACTCCTCTAGACTTTCCTCAAGCCTAATTTCTTTCTCTTCAGAAAGTTCTTCTATTGAATCAGGTGCTTCTGAGTGGTCCAAGACACCAGTGCAAATTCCATTGAGGTTTCTCATCTTTGAAAAGCAACGTCTGGTGGACACATTTTTTGGTAACACACTACCAAATCCAGCCTTTCCATTTGAAGAAATGTTTTGCAGTTCTGATTCTGTGTTGTCCAGACGGATATCAAAAGTCCATCCTTATAATCAAAGAGAAAATGTCATATTAAAGTTAACAGTAACATCATGTTAAGGTTTTGTGCAAGAAATTCCAAAACTGTCAAAAATTCAGACTAGTCTTCGGGTTTTCTCCACAGGTTTGTATACACTAGGATTTGGAAATCGAGTTTAATACAGCTTCCATGCAGAAAGCAATTAGGCATGCGGCATTAGTATTTTCCTCTAAACTGTTCCTTTTGGAAAGGTTATCTACAGGTCATTTTTTCCCCTGAGTGGTTTGCTTTGTTAACAAATTTTTATTGCTTTCATAAATGCTAATGCATGTCTAACAGTGATTTTATTTGGTTGAACTGTTTGGTAGTTAATGAAACTGGATTGCAGGTATAGGGAAGAAAAAAAATTTTCAAATTCCTCCTGATTTTGCTGGGCATCTTCATTCAAACATTTTACCAGTTGCAAGCATTAATATCTCCCCCTTATGACAGTAAGTAGAAAGTTACCTGTCAGTTCCTTCAAAAGCAGCAGTTACATTTTAAACTTGTACTCACACTTTTTTTCCTAATTCAGAAATGAGCAGTGTTTGATACTTTGATTCAGTTACCTTTGTTTGGAATTATTTTGGTTAAGGAAATGTCACTGTCAGATTCCACACAGGTCTTTGACCAAGAATTTCTATCACTACTGTCTTCTGTCCTACTTGGAAGCACTGGATCATCTCCATAAGCACACTGCAGAGGCCTTCTAGAGAAAATACCAAACACAGTATTTGCTGGACAGCAATATATTTTATGACAAGGAACAATTTAATTACATGGGGTTTCTTCCCTTTTTACCAGTCAGAAAATTAAACTTACTGTAACAGTTTTCAAACATAAACATAGCATTGATAAAATATACTTACGTTGAACCTATTGGTCCTGTGACACTGCAGCAACTGTTTCCAGGACCTGAAGAATGCACTCTTTGATTCTGTCAACAAAATAAATCTTACTGTGACTAAATAACTAAAACAAGCTTGCACCATCTACAAATTTTAGACAACAGCCAAGTTACCCAGTGAAGGACCAAAGAGGCCCTTGGATCTTTATCTTTCTGGGTGGTTAACACCAAGTGCTGTGGGATCTCACCTACTGAGCTTCTGCATGTCAGCACACACATCACAAGCCCAATCCTATAAAGAGCGGACAGGGAAAAGAGCTGTGCACAAAACCCCAGAAAATCAGAGTGCCCCAACCACCTTCCATCAGAGCCTCAGTTCCACTCACAGTGTAATGACACACCCCCAAGGTGTGCACCCTGCAGCATACTGGGAACTGTAGGACTAGTCCATCCTCTAAACTAAGGCTTGAATCTCAAAACTATGTGCATCTATGGCGGAACGAGTGAGGGGAATAATTGAAAGAAGTCCTGCTCCTCAAGAGGAAAAGGTATTTACCATGTCTATGGAACACAAATTCTTTGCTGGGCCAAGGAGATCAATTGAGTCCAGTAAATTCTGAGAGACTTTGGAAATTATCTCATTCAAGGCTGACAGTTGATTCTAATGGACAAAAGAAGGACAGTAATTGTTACTGTCATACTCTAGTATCAACTACAAGCTTCTTATTGGCATTACAAGATAACTAAAAGAAGAAACCTTTTGTCAGGTGCCTTCACACGTGATAAAAACCCCATAAATTTCACAGAAGATAGATTTTAAGTGAATAAGAAAGAGTAGCAACAACAACAAAAAAATAGTTAATTACCAGGTGTCATGGTGTCCAAACCACCACACTAGGTTAGGTGAAAACACTAAAAAAACTTGGTGCATATACTGAGTTAATTTTTTACAAAACATTTAAGATTGTAAACATATCTGTCAGTGGATTGGTTCAGATTCTGATACTTAGCTTCACCAACTCATAAAGTTATTATTAAAAATACCTCCACAAGTCGTTGTTCTTGCTGGAACCTTTGATTTCTTTGCAAGTCAAACATCTGAGCCTTCAAATTGAGATAATCTTTCCTTAACTGAAGAATGGTAGCTTCGGCTTCCCTCAGTTTGAGCTTTTCTTCTTGCAAAGACAGAGCTAGATCTCTGTTGTTTGCTTGAATGATCTTCATTTTGCAGGAGCTGTTGGCTGCAACAGAATAGTGAGCGTTTTAACTGGTTTTTAAAAGAAAACAAATACATTACAAATATTAAGATATTTAAGCATCTTACTTGCTCTTTTGGCCTTTACGGTGGAGAACTCGATAGTTTTACCCAGCCTTGCCCATTTCTGATATCTTTTCTCTCTCATACGCTGTTTTATGCCTCTCAGACTGTCCTTGAAGGACTTCCTCGAGTATTCTGTCATCTTCTACCTTTAAAAACAGAAAGGGTGAAGAACCCATGAAGAACCCAGCGCAAAAAGAAAAAAGACGGAGACACACGAGTAAAGCTTGCGGTAGTTTTAAGCGGACGTACACACACACACACACACAGAGCAGAGTCGCGCAACTACAGAAAGACCCGCAGCTGGGCCCATTTTTACCACAATTTCTGCAGCGCGGCCGCTGCATTGTCTGACCTGCAAAACACTGCGACCACGGCCGCGCCGAGGGCTTCTAAACACCGGCATCGCGGGGCATCCCGGGCCATGGGGGTTTCTCCCAGCCCCCCGCTCCCCTTAACCCCGCAGACAAGAGCGTCCCCACTACCCCGAGCCGTACCTGCTCGGGGAGGCGGGGGCGCCGCCGGGAACCGACTGCCGACTGGCCGCGGGCGCCTGAGCCCCCGGCGGAGGCGGCAAGGCCCGCAGAAGGACCGGCGGCTGTGCCCGGATCTCTGTGTCCCCGCACTACGACTCTGGGCCCGGCCCCGCAGGCGGACGGCTCGGCCCGGGGGGCTCCGCCGCGGCACCTCCGGAAGCGCGCGCCCGGACACCCCCACGCGCCGTTCAAACCCCGCCGCCGCCGCCTCCCATTGGCGCGTCCCGAGAGCCGCGTCACAGCGCGCGCGCCGCGCGTACACGGCCCCGCCCGTGCCCGGCGGAGCCTGGGGAACAGCCACGCGGCTGGAGGCGCGGGCCTCCCCTGAACTCAGCGCTGGTGAGGCCACAGCTGTAGTACTGTGCCCAGTTCTGGGGCCCTCAGTTCAGGAAGGACATTGAGGTGCTGGAGCAGGTCCAGAGGAGGGCAACTAGGCTGGTGAAGGGACTGGAGGACAAGTGCTATGAGGAGAGGCTGAGGGAGCTGGGGTTGTTCAGCCTGGAGAAGAGGAGGCTCAGGGGAGACCTTATCACTCTCTACAACTACCTGAAAGGAGGTTGTAGCCAGGTGGGGGTTGTCTCTTTTCCCAGGCAACTATCAGCAAGACAAGAGGGCATGGTCTCAAGTCGTGCCAGGAAAGATTTAGGTTAGATATTAGAAAGAATTTCTTTACAGAGAGGGTGGTCAGACGTTGGAATGGGCTGCCCAGGGAAGTGGTGGATTCTCCGTCTCTGGAGATTTTTAAAAAGAGACTGGATGTGGCACTTAGTGCCATGGTCTAGGAACCACGGTGGTAGTGGATCAAGGGTTGGACCTGATGATCTCGAAGATCCTTTCCAACCCAGCTGATTCTATGATTCTATGATTATTGAACAGCAAGACCAGGGGATAAAAATCGTTAATCTTGGATATTTTATTTCTAGCAGTTGATTGTTGTTGCAGCAGTAGCAGGATGAGCCTTTCTCGCTCTTACTGGAGCGTGCTTCTTGTGAAGTGCTCCTGAATCCTGCTGTTGCATGTTGAAGTGGAAATACTGTAAAAGCCGCAGGGTTAAACATGCTTTCGAACACTTAGTGGGTGAAAAAACCTGTTCCAAAATCCCATGGATAAGGGTAGCTGATGCTCTGTGAGGGTGCTCTCTGAGGCGGTGAAGCATAGGACCAGCGTGGCTGAGCTCAGCCCGGCACTGAGGGAAGGTGGATCTTCCATGTGCTCATGTCTCTCCACACTGAGCATGGAGTGCTGAACCTTGGTTAAACACTGCTTTATGATGGGAGGAAAAAAAAATCAGCTACACGATACCTTATTAACAATAAAATAAATGGTATTCTGAATCCTGATAAATCAGCATTTCATATCTGCTACACTTCTTTCTTACAGCTACTCCTGAGTTCTTGATTTTATTTGGTACAGCTTGGATGTGGTGTGGCAAGCTGATTTCAAACTTGGGAAATTCTCATGGATTGTGACAGAAACTATAGTCTATGATGTCCTTTCCCACTCCTTTGAAGATTATGTAACTTTTGTTTCTCAGAATAGCTGGCCTATAAAATCTGTGCAGTTTTTACAGTAGTGTAAATAAATATCATTGAACTTACTCTTACTCCATCAATACACATTGTTACAGTTGTGGTTTCGTTCCTGTCAGCAAATAAGTTGCCCTGCAGACACAGTTCTTGATGCAGTGTGACAATCCCCTTTTGAGACGCAAGATCATGTAAAAGAGGAAATTAGTATTTTCTTTAGGAAAAGTTATAAGCAATTTAAACACAATGGGCCCTCTTATTTAGTAGTGTCACACAAAACCAGAGCAACACACAATTTCAGTTTCTCATTACACATTTTTGCTTCTTTCTGTCTGTTTGCAACCCCTCCTTCCAGCCCCCAAACAACTATTCCAAAACCAAAAAAAAAAAAAACACGCACATACCTGGGAAAAAAAGAAAATAATAATAAAAAAAATTCACATACCCTCTCAAAATACTGTTTTAAAGGCAATAATTGGGCACACTCCTCCACTCAGCAGCAGCTAACAGCATCACCTGGACCCTTGCAAACAGCTCTCTCTAAACATTGTATGAAACAATCTTGTTGAACTCCTTGTTGAACTCCTTTTCTGATGGCTTGTGGGGTTGTTTTTTGTCAGCTTTTTTTTTCTCAGGCCTAAACAATAAGATACTATCATAGTCAAAGCAACCTTCAAGCCTGGCACCTTGGAGAAGCTCCAAAGACAGTACAGTGCTGTGAAGGAGGTGAAGATGAGGAAGAAAGGGGTCTTGGGATCTCTGACAATTCTGGGGAGGCGACTAGAGGGGCAGATTTGGGGAGGATCTGGTGGGCGGATAGTTCTGGGATTGGATGGTTAATACTATAAAATTGTAGAACCACTGGACATAGTGCATGCGCCTTTTGTACTCCTTGTACCAGAAGGCCTTCATTAAAGACCTGCTCTCTGTCTTATCCATACTAAATTTGCCTGGAGGTTTTTTTCCCCCAGATCTTTAGGCAACAAAATGAACCATATTTTGATTAAAAAGTAATGCTTTCCTTATTGCTATCTAAGTACTACTCTTAATTACTTTTTTTTTTGTTATCCTGAGTATATCTGTATCAAGATAAGAAATCCTCTCTTCACCTTTTTTCTTTCTATTGCTTCCATCAATTTTGTTACGCCTCTTTCAGAAACACTTTGGGATGTTTCTGCAGATTATCTTTGTGTTTTTAATGTTGAATTTCTATATCCACGTTTTCACTGTTACCAAGGTGTGCTCATTTCTGCATTATTCTTATCTCAAGACAGTTGTGTTTCTATGAGATTATTTGTGGGTTACATCCTCCATATAATTTTATTTATTTATAGTGTAGGATTCCAAGTAGTGAATATTTTTCTAGCTTGACTGACTCTTTGCTGTAAGCAATTTCACATCTTCCTCTATAAAAATTGATGCTGTCATTGATGCCAGAGTTGCTCTGGATTATTAGTTTATTTCTAGCGGGTGTACTCACGTGGCAAAACAGCTGCTGCTGCGACTGGAGTTGGAGTATGAAAAGATTTCCTCTCATCTGAGATTTACTGACTTGCATTACAAGGGAAAAGTTTCTTCATATAATTACAGCAAATTACAGGAATCAGAGCTGTGATTCTGGGAGCATTCCAGATACTTCTCGTTAGAGTTCACACCTGAGTGTGGTGTTACATGCTGATGTCCAACACATTCTTAATTAACTAAGAATGTAAAGGACTCAAAGTTAGAAAGTTGTTGTTTTTCCTGACTAAGCAAGCAATCAGATATGAAATATCCTATGCAATATCAATTAGTTACTTGTATTGCTACCAACATAAAAAGTCTTCAAATAAATCGAATTTTAACTATTTTAGTGGATGGTTGTGAGAGGTATTGATAATCCAGTCCTTGCTGAATAATATTTTTAAAACTTCTACTGGTTTCGATGACAGGATGAAATGTATGGCTCTATAAGAACATAATGTTTAGATTTGCTCTATCTATTTTTCACTCATTTTTGGTAATCACCATTAAGGGAGAGAAGAGCAGCCATGATATTGTGACAGATGACAAACTTTTGTCAGTGCGGGCAGCTGGATAACATCCAGATACCCAACATAAATATCTCACTCATCTCTTCAGCTGCTCCACATCCAGCCCCACATCAGGCAACCACAGTGATGATGTTTATGTTGTCTACTGACCATCACAGTAGCTCAGTTAGGGTAGTATATATGACTCATATTTTACTACCTCTACCAAAAATGATGCAGAAGTGGAAAATACAATGTATGAAATGCAGAGCATACTGTGATGACAAACTAAAAAGTATATACAATATACTATTTTGTGTAGTACCAAATTAATGAATACTGCAAAGTATTCTCTGTTAGAGGACATCCTTAGAAGTAGCTCTTAAACACTACCAGTATTTCCTTCCTTTAGCTAGAGAGAGAGAGAGACTGGTTAGTGACACACAGGACTGTTTTGCCTTCCATTACCTTTGGGGTTTGGAAAGATCATTTATGGCTTGCTGAGTCGGCTCTGTTTCTCATTTCTTGTGACTTGTATGCTGATGCTGCCTTGCAGTGCTTTTCTCCTTGACCATCAGTTGGCTCGTTTCTGAACTGCCCTCAAACTATTCAGTTCTAATCAATTTTGAGTAGGATGTTTGTAGCTATCATCATCTTGGAAATGTCATGTCAGGAGTCTAAGACTATTTGATATGTGAGAGCTGTGGCGATTGCAAGATGCTGATGCACTCATTTCATCTCTGAAAACAGAAAAGCACCAAACTTTTTTAATAAGCTTGCACAGATGTATCTGAGCAAAAAGGTCTTGTACTAACTTGACCAAGTTTGGCTGAAAATCCTGTAGAAATAATGAGCTGAAAAGATTTTGACAACCAGACAATTGATACATGTCCTTTATCAAGATTAAAAAGAAGCATGAGCGTTGCTTGGGTGTCATTATTTTTTATGTATATCCCTATGTGCTATTTCTTTCACATTTCAGAAAGATTTATCAAATTAGAACCATAAGCTGCCAAAGTTCAGACCACTTTTTTTTTGAATGTGTTATTAGTATTATATTATTATATTCTCTATATTCTCTAATTATAATTTCAATATTTTTCTTTCTCAAAAATAGTGTTATTCTAATTTCAATAAAACCACAGATGTAAGAGGAAAAGAAGCCTGAAGCATAAGATGTGTTTCATTAAGGTAAAACTAATAAACTATAAATCATCATACCCACATTAGTGTTAGTGTCTTTTTGATGTACATATGTATGCTAAATAGTTCTAAATTTATGTATATACATAATTCTATATATTCTAAATAATTCTAAAATGTTTTCAATTATTAATCAGTTTAATGTAAAGAGGTGAAAGATTAATAAGTATCTTTATCTATTCATGAGGGAGACTCTAGAGACAAAAATATATGCAATGATTATTATATGGGTGAGATACAGCCATCTTTTCCACTATAGACACTGTGATAGATAAACAGTCTGAGTTGCCACAAAATCTTTCCTTTCAGTGCCTGGGAAAATACAGAATCCCAGAAGAGTGTCTTAATCCACAGCACTATCACA